CAGGCACCCCTATCATGAACATTTTTAAACAAGATAGTACCATATCACCCTGTGTTCTATATGGAAACTTGTTGCTATAATATTACCACTGAATACCAACATTTTCATTTAGAATTTGCTAAATGCCACCATCCATTAATTCACCAATATTTATCAAGCACCTACCATGTTGTAGGCACTATACTAGGGCACTTAGGACATAAATGTGATATAGACTCAAAATGTTGACATGTCATTCTCCCCAGCCTTCCCTCTTCCTCCACCTTCTATGCCCCACTCAAGAGTGTCTATGACTGCCTTCTTGGTTCCTGAGCTTCAAGGTAGAGGGGAGAGCTGAGAATTGAGAGAGGTTGGCTTGATTGACGTAACTGAAGTGGTGTGGGGGTGGACAGGAGAGAAATACAGATTTGAGTAAGTTGGAAGAAGGGAGATTTTGGAGAGTAGCTGCTGTGATGAGTGTGACTTTGGGGACACAGACACATGATGAGGAACTTTAGAACTTCTGCTGGGCACTCTGCAGTGTAATTCCTTCTACCTAGCCTTGTCTAGAGACTTCACTAAAGATTCCAGGGCTTTTGGATGTGAACCTGGTGCTTCTTTTGAATATAGTTCCGTGCTGAGACTGGCTGTAGTAGCCAGCTTCCAAGAAGGCTCAGTGAGTCTTGCCTGCTGGAATTCATGCCCTTGTGTGGTCCCCTCCCACACTGAATAGGGACAAAAACTGTGTAACAATAGGATACTGCAGAAAGGAAAGAGTGGAACATCTGAGGCTATATCCTAAAAGACACTGCAGCTTCTACCTCATCCTATTGGATGGATCACTTGCTCTCAGGGAAGTCACCTGCCATGTTGTGAGGATCCTCAAGGTCAAGTCCATGTGGGAGAACCAAGGCCCCCCTCCAACAGCCAAGATACTCTGCCAACCACATGAGTGAGCCTGCTTAGAATTGGATCCTACAGCCCTGGTCAACAGCTTGCTGCAACCTCGCGAGAGATCCCCAAGCCAGAACCACTCAACTGAGCCACTCCAAAATACCTGACCTGTGTGAGATAATAAACAGTCACTGTTATTTTTAAATCTCTAGGTTTTGGGGTAAATTATTGTGCAGCTAAACACTGGCTATGAGGTGGCTCATCTTTACTGAGGTACCCAAAGCTACCTGAGGTTCCCGGCCACCTCAACCCATAAACACAAAAGAGGACACAGCAAGAGTAATACTTGGATCTCACCTCTCTCACCTCTTCTGCTGAAGCAAGACCTGGACCTGAGATCTTCTGTAAATTAACCATTCCCCCTACTTCCTTAGGAAAGTGACAAGTATGCCTATGAATTGGGAGAAGAGGCATATGTCTCCTGTGTGTTTATGAATCTACCTGGGTGCGGTTTTCCTGTCTCTCACGGGCATCGCTGATGGGTTCTGAGATACCACTGTTTCCTGCCGGCGCCATACTGCCACCAGGGGTCAGTGCCCCTGGCCAAGCACCAAAGTCTCCCATCAGGCATTGCCGCGACCTTCCGGGTATTGCTTCTGAGCAATTCACTGGACCAAAGTGAGGAGCTACTCTGTGATGGTGTGGCTGAAAGATGCTTCTCTCCTCTCCAATGCAGTGTCCTTACCCTACGGTTTTATTGAGAGTTTATGGAAATAATTTGTTTTTACTCACAGCCCTCTCTCTCCTTAGGTTTCAGACCTGTGTCCATATGTTGAGACTTCCACTGAGTGACCTGTATGTTGTTATCAGGATTTTTTTTTAAAGATTTTATTTATTTATTTGACAGAGAGAGAGAGAGAGCAGGAACACAAGCAGGGGGAGTGGGAGAGGGAGAAGCAGGCTTCCCGCGGAGCAGGGAGCCTGATGCGAGTCTTGATCCCAGGACCCCGGGGTCATGAACTGAGCCAAAGGCAGATGCTTAACCAACTGAGCCACCCAGGCACCCCTGTTATCAGGATTTTTAGTACCCTGTGGCACCCCAGCATTTGTTGCTGGGTCAGGCTCAACATGGCTGCAGGCAGCTCTAGGCTCACATCATGCCAGTTTGGCAACACTAGGGAAGAAAAGAATTTCCTGCTTTAGAAGACATAACTCCCAGGGAATGGCTCTGATTGGCTGGGCTTGGGTCTCATGCCCACCTCTTGGGCTATAGACAGGGGAAGGCAGGGGACTGTGCTAGACAGTCCCACCAGGATTACCCGGAGCTCCCCAAAGGAAGGAGGCATGCTCTCACCCTCAAAGCAGTAGGGAGGGAGGGGAAGGGATGGTGGCAGATTAAAACAACAACTTCCCACTGTTCTTCAGTTTCTAGACCTGCCTAGGCATCCGAGTGTGACCTCCAGCATTGGACCCAGTGATCCCAGCCATTCAAGGTCATGGTCCCTAACTGAGGAGCTTGCTGTCTCCAGAGTGGGGTCCATCTATACCACTTTCTTTGACTCATTCCATGTGCTCCTTCCTCAGACTCTAGTTCAAGGGTGAGAGGTCATGACTTTTGCACCCCCTTTATCGTATTCTTTCCAAACTTCCCTGAATGTTGCCCTTTGAGTTGCCTTTCCCTGCCATCCTGATGTCTGCCTATACTTGCCAAAAGTCATTCCCACATAACCAAATCTTTAAAAATGCATAGATTTATAACCTCCTGCTTATTCTCCAGCTTTGAGTCCAGCTGTGAGAATTTTAGGGCAAGACACTCAGGGGTCCAGGTGTTAGACCTTTACATAATGCAAGTATGGCAGCCTCCCTCCTTCCTACCTCATGATCCCGTGTAACTTTGAGGTGAGTAATCAGACAATTGCTCTTTTTGTGACCAGAGGAATCTCTTCTGCTGACAGCCCCATGGGTCCTTCTTGCCACTGCCAATAGCCCTTGATGATTGGTCTAGAAACTGACCCATCCTCATTGGATGTAGCATTTCACCAGTGTCCTGGCAAAGTGCCTGACAGTGTTCTCTGCTCACAAACTGCCTTGCCGATCTTCCTTAGACTGCCAAGGAGGTGCATCGGTCCTCTGTGGATGGGTCAGGTGATTTGTCAAAGAGCAGGAAACCATGGGATGGGCAAAGGTTCTAATTATACAACGCTGTCATGCCCTCAAACAACACAAAGGAAAAGTGTTGCTGTATTAATTTCCTAGAGCTGTGATAACAAAAGTACCACAAACTGGGGGGCTTAGAACAATAGAAATGTATTGTGTCCCAGTTCTGGAGGCTAGAAGTCCAAAATCAGGGTGTCAGCAGGGCCGTGCTCCCTTGAAACCTCCAGGGAAGGATTTGTTCCAGGCCTCTGTTCTAGATGCTTGGCCTCTCACAGCATAACTCCAATATCACCTCATGTTCTCCTTGTCTTCATGTCTCAAATCTCTCCATTTTATAAGGATACCAATCATATTGGGTCAGGGCTCTACTAATGATTGGGTGGGGTATTAACTTGATTACCTTTGTAAAGTCCCTATCTCCAAATAAGGTCATATTCAGAGGTCCTGGGGGTTAGGTCTCCATGTATCTCTTTTTTGGGGGAAGGGACATAATTCAACCCATACCAGAGACCTAGGCCTTCAAAAGAAGGTTGTCCTGTGGGGTTCCTTTCTCTAAACTTCTTTCTCTGTACTCCAAATTCCCCTCTTCACAGGCAGCTGCCTTTTCTGTGTCCCCTGGTCCAGGGCTTCACCCTGCCATTGCAGAAGCTCTCTTCTGGGACCTTGCCATCTGCTGAGCCATTATGACCCTAGAGGGACAGGGTGGCCCCACAGTGGGGGATCCCACTTCAGTTCAGTCTCCTCACCAGCCAGAGGCATGACAGATCACTCACCACTTTTCAAAAAAAACAAAAAAAACCTGGCAAGTCACTCCAAAATGAGCATTGGCTTTTCTTGGCAACCATACCATCTAATCTCCTATGAGAAAAAGAATCCCTTGGGGTTGGTTTATTTGTTTGGTGCAGAGTTGAATTAATCATTCTCTGCAGTTCAGGGCAACCCACCATCAAGGGTCAGTACACTACCCATTCCTCACTTGCTCTTGCTCTCTCTTCTTCCTCATCAATGGTCTCTCCCAGTCCTGCCTCTTTCCCATAGGCACCCACTCTAGGGCTCGCTGTGAGTCCTAGAAGAGGCCTGGGTCCTTGTCAAGCACATAGGGTTGTTTTAATTTGTTTTGTACTTTAAATTTTTATAAATGGTCTATTGCTCTAGATAGCATTGTGCTTCTTACTTTTATTACTCTATTGATGTTCCTCATGTTAAGATGATTTTATTCTCATCACTTTTGCAACATAAGCTTCAACATAGTTGAATTAAGGAATATTTGATTTCTTCTTGGGTCTGGCTTATGTTACAAGAGCCCTAAATGTAACTATAATTGACACTCTCCTCTACATCCCAGAGGGGTAGAACCAGATCCGATTAGCCTGAATTCTCATTCCACATCTCTCTGCATACCACCCGTACAAAGGCAATGGGAAGTTCCCCATGTCACCTCACATAACCCAGACACAAACACATAAATGCAGTCTGATCCTATTCACTGATACCGCGAGGATGCAACCAGCCACATCCAGGATGTGAGGATTCCAAAGAACAAATGATCTGGTTTCTTCAACAAATAAATGTCATTAAAAGAAGATGGGATGAGGGGTGGTAAAGGAGAAATGAAAATGGGTTAAGAGATACTTAAGAGACATATTAACCAAGTGCAACATGTGAACCTTATTTAGATCATGATTTGAAAAAGCCAACTGTGAAAACACATTTTCAAGATAATGAAGGAATTTTCAACATAAATCAGGTATTAGATGAAATTGAGTTTTTAGGTTTTTTAGGTACAATAATTCTATTATTAATATGGCTTTAGTAAAGCTCTTATTTTTAGATATTCATATTGAAGCATTTATAGATGATATGATGTCTCGTATTTGCTTTATAATACTCTAGTGTGGGGGTTGGCAAATTTTTTCTGTAAAAGGTTAGATAGCAATATTTTAGGCTTCCTAGGCCACATGATCTCAGTCATAACTACTCAGCCTTGCTGTGATGGGAAAACAGGTATAGATATTGCACGCATGAATAGGTAGGCTGTGGTCCAATGAAACTTTATTTTCAAAAACAGGAGACAAGTCAGATTTGGCTCATGGGGTCATGGTTTGCCAATTCCAGCTGAAGTGCAAAAAAAAAAAAAAAAAAAAAACAGAGAAGAGCAGAAAGGTGAAAAAGACCAACGAAATGTTGATATTGTTGAAGTCAGATGACAGGAACATAGTGATTCATTACACTATTTCTCTATTTTTGTGTATGTTTGAATATCTCCATAATAAAAAAAAAAAAACGAAGGCACTGAAGAGGTCTTTTTGCAAAGAAAGAAAACTATTTGCCTTTGACTTCTGTCCTTACCTCCCTCACTTCCTTTACTTTTGCTTGTCTGTTTCTCAGATCTGTTTCACACACCCACTCACACACCCACTTTCACTTTGATATATTTTTTAATCGAAATGAACTTCAGGCAGCCCCGTACTGCTGAGGAATGCAGCGAAATCCTTATGATGGGTTCTCATATTCTTTCCCAGGAGGCTCACAGGCCCATTTCCTTTCAGAGCTTTATACCCTTGGAAACACTTTTCCTAAAATGGAGATTCCAGGCCTCAGGGCTGAGGCCTACCAGCCTTTGGGAGGCATTGTTGTTTTCTTATTTCTCAGCAGGAAATAGGAATGTCCCAGGGAGGATTAGAACATTACCCAACAGCTCTGGTGAAGGGCTGGGAACACTGACTGGAAGTTGGAATCTGGTCGGAACATCTGGGAGTTCAAAGAAAGAAATGCTAAGCTATTCATCAGGTTCCATAAATTCTCTTAAAAGTAGATGACTATGAAACAGACAGAAGACAATGGAGCGTGTTGTCAGAGAAAAGGCATTACATACATCTCACTTGGAACTGCCCTGAATGTGTAGACTGACTATGTCATTTCAAACTGTGGGCCGCAGATCCACCGAGGAAAGAATAGCTGTTGACCCTTCTCTTCCAAGATCCTTCAGTGGATGACAAAGACACCTGCAAAAGCTGCCTCTAACCAACTTCCGCCGGCAGGATCGGGATGTTCTCCCTCCACCCTCTGTCAGCATCAGCCCCCAAGCCGCTGCCCCTACTGGAAGGATTTCTCCCTGGACTTAGCCAATCCCTGCCCTCCATTTGTGAGGGGGCAGAGGTCATTCCTGACAACCCCAGCTCCTGGTGACCTCTCTATCTTATGAGCTTCTCCAGCACATTCTGGTGGTATCGCCTGTTACCATTTAATTCCAAATTGCACTATGTACCACCGAGGATAAGTAATGCTGGCTGCTGAAACAGATTAACCCCAAATTCTCAGTGACTTAACACAAAACGTTATTTTCACTCATGTCACAATACTAAGTGGGTAATCCTGGCCAGCTAAGCATTCGCATGATCATTCAGGGCTCCCTAAGCTCTATTTTGCAGCCCCACCCCCTTTGAGGTCCTTGGAGTCCTTGTTATTTAGTTGGCAGATGAGGAAAGAGAGCATAGGCAAGGTACACCCACTCCTACTGTACAACAGCATGTCTGTGAAATTCCTCCATATTATGCCTTGAAACAATAGTTCATTCTCTTTTGTTGCTGTGTAATATACTCTATTACGTGATTACACCACAATTTATCCACTCTACTGCTGATGGGCATTTGCACTGTTTTCAGTTTGGGACTATTATCAACAAAACTATTACGAATGTACCTTTAGGTGCACATATCTATACATTTCTGTTGGGAATGTACCTAGTGGTAGAAATGCTGGGTCGGAGAGCATGCATAGGTAAAACTTCAGTGGATGTTGCCAAATACTTTTCCAAAGTGGTTATGCAAAGGTACATGTCTGCCAGCATTGCATGAGACACCCAGTGGCTCCATATCCCTGCAAACATTTGGTATTGTCATCTTTCTCATTTAGCCATTCTGGTGTGAGTGCTGTGGTATCTCCTCATGGATTGATTGACTGGTTCGTTGGTTGATTTTCTCACTGTGGTTTTAATGTGCATTTTTCTTTCTTTTTTTTTTTTTTTTTTAAGATTTTACTTATGTACTTGACAGACAGAGACACAGTGAGAGAGGGAACACAAGCAGGGGGAGTGGGAGAGGGAGAAGCAGGCTTCCCGCGGAGCAGGGAGCCCGATGTGGGGCTCAATCCCAGGGCCCTGGGATCATGACCTGAGCCGAAGGCAGACGCTTAACGACTGAGCCACCCAGGCACCCCTCAATGTGCATTTTTCTAATGACTAATGTAATTTGAGCATTTCTTTTTAAGGATTTTATTTATTTATTTGACAGAGAGAGACACAGCAAGAGAGGGAACACAAGCAGGGGGAGTGGGAGAGGGAGAAGCAGGCTTCCCACTGAGCAGGGAGCCTGATGCCGTGCTTGATCCCAGGACCCTGGGATCATGACTTGAGCTGAAGGCAGACACTTAATGACTGAGCCACCCAGGTGCCCCTTTGAGCACCCTTTAAAAGGCTCATTGGCCACTTCAATCTTCTTTTTTGAGAATTTTCCATTCAAGTCTTTGGCCTACTTTTCTTTTAGGTAATCTGTCTTTTTCTTATTCAGGATATGAATTTTTTGTTACTTTATGAATTGTGGCTTGCAGTTTTGCTCTCTTATGTTTTTTTTAATAAACAAAAGTTTTAAATTTTAACGAGATATGGAGTATTCATCTTTTCTTTTAGGGGTAGTATTTTTGTGTCCAGTTAAAGAAATCTTTGCCTATCCTAAGGTCATGAAGATATTCTTCTATGTTCCCTTTGTTATCTTTTGGAAGCTTTTTTGTTTTACCTTTCACATTTAGGCCCATAATTTAGCTGTAATTTACTTTTGTGTTTTGTATGATGTAGGAGTCAAGGTTTTCCCATTTGAATATCCCTTGAATCAGCAACATTTACTGAAAAGACCATCCTTTCCCTGCTGTATTGCAATGTACCTTTGTTGCAGATCAAGTGATTATATATGTGGGGGTCAATTTGGGGACTTTATTTTATTATTTTGGTCAATTTTCTATCCTTCCACTGATACTGCATAGTTTTGATTAGGGTAGCTTAAAAATCAGTAATTTGCATCCTCTAACTTTGTCCTTACTCAAGATTGTCTTTGCTGTTGTGGCACTTGACATTTCAGAATTTGCTTGTTCGTTTTTACATGCACACATTTAAGTCTGTAGGGATCTTGCTTGGAATTGAATTGGATCTACAGATAACATTGGGGAGAGTTAACAGCTGCACAAAATTTTTCCAATCCATGAACGTGGTATATAACTCTTTTTTTTTTTATTCTCCCTTCTTTAATTTCTTTTGGTAATGTTTTGTAGTTTTCTGTACACAGGTGTTGCACATCTTTTGTTACATTTCTTCTCAGGTGATTTTTTTTTTTTTTTGGTATTATTGATAATGGAACTGCTTTTTTGAAATTTCACTTTCAAATTGTTTGTTGCTAGTATAAAGAAACACAAGTGACTTTTGTATACTGACTCTTCAGTGATATTGACCCATTTCTTACCTATTTTGGCCTCTCTCACTTACAGTTTATTGGTCAGAACTCAGTCAATATGGCCACATCAAAGGGCAAAGAAGTGTCCGGGATGAAAAAGAAAGAAGTTTTAGGGAATGCAGAGGGTTCTTCCATACACTACACTGAGATTTTAACATTCATGGACTTACCCTGTCACTTCACTATGGTGCAAGGAACTCTAAAGTTCTCCATCTTAAGACAGTATTTAGCTAATATAACTTGAGGAGTCGTTCAGAATGCTCTAGTTGGAAAAAAGCTGCATTAATAGTCACACTCTATTACTTTGGATAATCACTTGGCCCCAAGGTGATCATAAAGCACATGCAAAATGTCACCTTGAAATTGCATGGTGGAATCCTGCTCCACAGTGGACATAAAGATCATCCAAACTATGTTTATGTTTCTATGGTTGTTATTGTTGTGTTTTTTTTTTAAGATTTTATTTATTTATTTGAGAGAGAGAACAAGCAGAGGGGAGAGGCAGAGGGAGAGGGAGAAGCAAGGTTCCCACTCGGCAGGGAGCCGACAAGGGCTCAACCCCAGGGATCTGGGATCATGACCTGAGCCGAAGGCAGACGCTCAATTGACTGAGCCACCCAGGCACCCCTGTTTCTTTGGTTTTAGACTGGCATAGAAATAAAGCACACACCACATACCTCCTAATGAACTTGCAGACAATATGACCCACCCCACCCCTCATTTTTATTATAACTACCCAAGGCTGAAGTCACACATCAGCAAGTTGCTTTATCTTCAAATGACCTGATTCAATATTTTCACTCTCATAATGTTGTAATCTCATGTTTTGTTTAATTTCTGTTAGCAGACACAAATGATTTGCTTTCTCAATTAATCTGACTTGCTTATAAAATGGCAGTGGCTAAGCCCACGATTCAGTCACTGAACTCTGCTGGCTGGAGCTGGGCATGGCTGAGACCTTATTGGTTGGATGTGAAGGGGGCCTTTAGTCTGTCCACAATGAGTATAAGACACAGTTAACTGCTTTTGTGGTGATAAGATATGCTCTTGTTTTATATTTTACACAGAACATAATTTCATTCGTTCTTGAGGACACATCTGACAATGTTCTGGTTAAAGGACTCTGAAACTGGGATGCTCCGAAACACGACATCTCCCCCTAAACAGTAGCTGGAAACACGTACCCATTTCCACTCCATGTTTAAACAGACTGCACTGCTGTGAACAAAGGAGAAACTTGAATATGAACGGGGTGCTGCCCATTGTCACAAACGCCAGGGGGATGTTGGATGAAGCCTATCCAGGTCTGGGGCTCGGGTTCAACCCTGCAAGGCTTTGAGCCTCCAAGGAGCAGGCCCTGAGTTGCCCTTCCAGAGGAGTAGCATCTGGGCTCTGCTTCCAGCTCCACCCCACATCTAGCACCGAGAAAGCATTTGCGGAAGGAAGAACGGTTCCAGAGGTCATTTCCCAGCTCCACGGAACTTGATTCCCACTTTCTCTCGCCTTCCCCTGTCTCCCCTCCTCCGCTCTTCTCGCACACGCGCTCTCGCACCTTAGCAGATGTTTGGCTAAGAGTTTCCTGAGAGAAGTTGTCAGCCCTCTCACAGCCCCTGCTCCACACCCACCCCTGCCCCTCCGCTTTTCCCTCAGCCTTTCCATGTTTTGTTCTGTTTTGCGTCAGTAAATGTCTAAGGTGTTTTTCCCCCTGTGCTGTGAAATCACATCTGAGCCTCAATCGGTGGCTTAAAATCGAAAGGCCAGAAACAGCGGATAGTAGTGCTGAAGACAAAGTGGCCTCCAAGGGCCCAAGAAAAAAACAATCCCTGTAGCCTTTCTCCTCCAGCGTGTCGACTGTAGTTCTGGACACCTTGTGGTCGGAATTCCTGGTGCGCATGCGTGTTGGGGGGCGTTTGTTTTGTTCTGTTCTTCGGGAGGACCGGCCAGGACACTGGGGAAGTTTGGGACGAGCGTTGATGGACAGGGTCCGCTGACATTCTCAAAAGGCCCAGCAGGGGGCAGTGTTCTCCGCGCCGGCGGAGGCCACCGGGTCTGCGCTCAGAACCTGGAGAGGGACCGAAGACAAATTTGTGGGGGCCCGAAAGACCCCTCCACCTGCCTGCCTGTGTCATGCTTCTTTTTTTTTTTTTTTTTTTTTTTACAGTTTATGTCTGAAACATTGTAGTAAAAATAAGCAGGGTAGGCTTTTGTGAAAATGGTGGAAATAAGAGAGCCTGTCTTCCGTTCTCACGTCACCAGCTGCCCTTGGCTGCCCAAGGCCCTCACTGTGAGGCTCCCCGGGGATCGGTCTTTCCAGGAACACCCGTGGGGCTGTTCCCAATTCTTTCCAATCCTCGCCTTCACCCGCCCGACCCACCACCCCGTCTCCAGTGTGCTGCCCCCCTTCGGGAACGACCGGCTCCGCCGCCCCCCGAGGGGCCGCCGTGAGGGAGACGGTCTGCGGGAAACCCTGGTGCCCACAGGAGTCACCCCCGGCGGTGGCCTCGGGGCCGACGGAGGTTTTGCCAGGTTTGTGCTGCCGGGCCGGCCGGCAGCTCCTCCAAGTTCACGGGTGAGAAACACCTCCTCTCCCGCCCGCAGCCTTCGTTCCGTATTTCCTCTACCCTCTGTCACACAGCCTGGAGTCGCAGTATTGAAAATATACTTCTTTTGATTTTGAGAACGGTCAGGTTTTCCGGAGCTTCCTACGGAAAATGTAAACGTGGTGGTGGGGGGGTGGGGGTGGGGGAGGGGGGGTGGCGCCCCCCATCGCTCAGCGGGTAGTCGGCTTCTCCCTCTGCCTCTGCCTCTGTCTTTCTCTCAAACAAATTAATTAATCAATTAATTAATTAAAAAAAGAAACTCTCTGGTGATTTTCCTAATGATAATGTAAAACAGTTTTACATGTACAAACCGTATTAATATAAAAGTTAATTAGAAAGCTAGACATTGGGGCGCCTGGCTGGCTCAGTTGGTAGGGCATGCAACTCTTGATCTCCGGGTCATGAGTTCCAGCCCCACGTTGGGAGTTAGCTTATACTTAAAATTAAAAATATACATATTTGAAAAAAAGAAAGGAAAAAAGCTAAACATTTCTAGAAATTTCATTTTTTAAAACGGGCCACTTTTAACACCTCAGCGTTTTGGTTGGAGGGACAGGCCTGAGGCAGGCAGGGGGTGCTAGGAAATTTTTTGGGGGGGAACTTTTAATAAGTCTAGCTTTTACCTATTATCAGCTAACTTTGATCAGGATCATTAAATGCCCGCTGTGTGCCATGTGGTGCAACAGACACTTTGTATACATCATTTTGTTTAGTATTGGGCCATTTTATCAACAGGAAACTGAGGCTTCACAAAGGTCACTTGCCCAGGTTGCCCAAACTTATAACCACTAGCCAGGATTCAAACCAGAATGCAAGCCCAGATTCCAGAATTTCCTGCCCTTTCTCCTTGACCACAGTTATGCCAGAGTAAACTAACATCACAAATCATGTAGAGGTGACCAGCTGCTGGAAATCTCCAGAAGTCCCTATAATATTTGTCATACGTCTTTATTAAAATGAAAAAGAATTCTCATACAGGTATGTCCTGCTCTTGAAAATCCGTGTTCTGCTACTTCACTTTTATTTTTTTAATTTTTTTTAAGATTTGTATTTATTTATTTGACAGAGAGACACAGTGAGAGAGGGGACACAAGCAGGGGGAGTGGGGGAGGGAGAAGCAGGCTTCCCACAGAGCAGGGAGCCCGATGCGGGGCTCGATCCCAGGACCCTGGGATCATGACCTGAGCCGAAGGCAGACGCTTAACGACTAAGCCACCCAGGTGCCCCTGCTACTTCACTTTTAGACTGACATTAGTATCTGTTTTTGCTAACTGAAAGAAATCTGAAGATGATTTTTGCTTTTACGACAAAAAGCAAAAAGCAAAAATGACGTTCAGCATTTGTTTTGCAGCGAGAGGCCCCATCATGCTCAGGATCCACCACAGCTCTATGTGAGCATCTGGACTTTATCTAGATTTAATTTGTGCATCCGTTAGCAAGATGGGTCCTAACGTATCAGAAAAGCTTAGGAGAGGTGATTTTTTGGGTCTGGGAACACTCGGAACTTTTGCCATATAAATTCATGGTTATTCCTTCCTCACTCTAGGCCATTTCTGCTTACAAAATGTTTTCAAAAGAACAGCCTACTTTCAGATAGCAAGGGAAACCTGTAAACATTCCCCTGACCCCCTGGGTTCTTAGATGCCATAGTGAGAAGGATTTTCTATTTCTCTTGCTAGATCAGGACTGGTATTCATTCTTAGCGACTTCTACACAATGCAGTACACTATTCGAAAGGGAGATCTGGTTAGCCTCTGGGACACACAGTCATCACAGCTAAGCCCTGATTCCGATTCTATGTCCTTTTAAATTCCCAGCACACAGAATTTAGCATTCCTTGCCGTGCTCCACATCCACGTCCTGGTGACTCCCACCCCCATGAAAAATACACACACAGGTTGGGTGCTCACATGCTTCTCATGCTGGTGGACACCCTAGCTATCCCGTAGCTCCAGAGAACGTAGGGGACAACAAGCATTAACCCATCCGCCTTCCAGTGATGACAAAGGGCATGTTGTGTACCCCACAGAGGCAGCTTGTTTTGCTCTCAGGCCCCGGTGATCAGGGCCAGCCCATGGCATGGTTCCCATGTAATGGGGATGATACTTTTGAATATATATTAAACTGGTGTGTTTTCTGTCCGATTAAATCATGGTGCTCTGTGGTTCTCCACCCATTTAATCAACAGGTTTCCATGCTTCAGGGAAAGGGAGATGCCAAAGAGAACAACCAGGTCATTGCTCAGCTTTGGCTGCCAAATTCTTTTTTTTTTTTTTTTTTTTAATCCCTTGTAAGACAACAGTAGTGAACGGCAGCCTCCAAAGTGGGGTGTGCCAAGACAACACACTGGGTACAGGAAAAAAACATTAGCACTTCTATTTTCATTTTTATCTTATCCTTTTAAAATGCCCATTTGGGGTTATGTTTTATAAAGCACATAATACGTTAGTATAGTATTAAATATATAAAATTCTAAGCATATATTTGATATACATATATATCAAATATGTACATATTCCAAAAAAGTACTGCTTAGAGTTCTATATGTTGACTTTTACTATAAGCCATAGGGAGAGATAACTTAAATATCCACTCATCTAGGGCAAAAGTAGATGGCACCTCCAGTGTGGGAAAGTGGGGGAAAGAAGAGGAGGAGAAGCAAATTGTATGTATGTTGGGGGAGGCATGTCCCATTCCCCACTTGGGCTTGAAACCCTGTTGGGTCAGTCCCGGAGACTCCCAGAGCAGTGGGACTATTCCTTCTTTCCTCAGGCACCTTAGGGAAGGTCCACATCCAGCATGGGCCGCCTGGGCTGAAGATGCTGAAGAGATAGGCGGGCTGCATGGGGATCTCACAGAGCCCTGAACTCTCCCATGGGAGTGCAACAGCAGTCAAGAGTCCCAGTCTCCCAAGGGGCTTGAGTAAGTGCTTGGAACCAGTAGATTACAGAAAGTTGAGGGATAATGAGAGGCCACCAAATGTAAGAACCAAATGACCAGAAGGACTATTGATGAAGGAGCCAAGAGAGCCAGGTGAGACCAGCTTTACCTGAGTGAGCATTTGGCTGGCACTGGAGATTCAAAAACCAGATCAAACCAGCCGCTCTACAGTGAAGACCAAGAAGGACATGGAGGAGATCTCCCAGACCCGCCACCCTCATGAGGGCACGTGTTCCCACTCAGATGCTCCTACAGCCAAATACCATTTGTTATGGGTTGAATTGTGTCTTCTGCCAAATTTATATGTTGAATTCCTAACCCTTTAATAAGATTTCTTTAAGTGTGTGTGTATACACATTTAGTTTTATTGTAACAAAGCAACCTGTGTACTTTTAACATTTAAAACTGAGCTGTTATCTTTCCTTTCCAGTGAAACAAAAAGAAAATTTAAAAATAAACAGGAACAAAATTACAATTAGGATTTCTTCACCCAATGGGGGGAGAGGGTTTTTCACACACACACACCAAACAATTCTCCGACACCAGCTGGGTGTCCTACAATGTAACACAATTCTGACATTATCTAGCCAGAGGTAGCATCAGGTTCCACAGGTTAAGGGCGCAGTCCTACAAGACTGCCCTCCCTCCCATACTTCAATGCCAATTGCAGGCCCAGCTCATCACCTGTGCTTCTGATTGGAGGGTCCAACGACCCCCTCTTTGGATTCGATTAATTTGCTAGAGCAGCTCACAGAACTCAGGGAAACGTTTTATTTACGGAAAACATGCAAAGGGTGAGGTATGAGCAAAGAGCACAGAGTTTCCGTGCCCTTTCTGAGCGTGCCACTGTCCTTGAGTCTCACCAGCCTGAAAGCTCTCTGAACCTCATCCTTTTGGGGTTTTATGGAGGCTTTGTTACAAAGGCACCATGAATTAAGTCATTGGCCATTAGCAACTGACTCAGCCTCCAGCCCCTCTCCCCTCACCAGAGGTGGGGGTGGGGAGTGGGCAGACTGAAAGTTCCAACCCTCTCATCACATGGTTGGCTCCATAGGCAAACAGCCCCCATCCTTAGGTGTGGTCCGAAAGTTGACCTCATTAACACAACAGAGGACACCTTTATTGCTCTCATCACTTGGGAAATTCCCAGAGTTCTAGGAGCTCTGTGCCAGAAACAGGACAAAGGCCAAATATATACTTCTTAGTATAAATCACAGTATCACACCCCTAGTACCTCAGAATGTGGCCTTAATTGGAAATTGGATTGCTGCAAATATAATTAGTTAAGATGAGGTCATACTGAATAGGATGAGCCCCTAGTCCATGACTCGTATCCTTATATAAAATGGGAAATTGGGAGACAGAACTAACTCTACCTGCACCTTGACCTTGGACTTCCAGCCTCCAGAACTGTGAGACAATCAATTTCTGTTGTTTCAGCCACTCAGGCTGTAGTACTTTGTTACAGCAGTGCTAGCAAATTAATACGCCATCTTTGCTAAAGGCGCAAGGTACCTGGGGAGAAATTTTGAAAGACTAGATCTGTATTCAAGAAGGGCTGAGGGCGCCTGGGTGGCTCAGTTGGTTAAGCGACTGCCTTCAGCTCAGGTCATGATCCTGGAGTCCCGGGATCGAGTCCCGCATCGGGCTCCCTGCTCGGTGGGGAGTCTGCTTCTCCCTCTGGCCCTCCCCCCTCTCATGTGCTCTCTCTCATTCTCTCTCCCAAATAAATAAATAAAATCTTTAAAAAAAAAAAAAAAAAAGAAGGGCTGAGACAGGGGGCGCCTGGGTGGCTCAGTCGGTTGAGCGTCTGACTCTTGGTTTCAGCTCAGGTCATGATCTCAGGGTCATGAGACCCACCCCTACATCGGGCTCTGCGCTCAGCCCGCAGAGTGTGCTTGGAACTCTCTCTCCCTCTCCTTCTGCCCCCCCCCATTCTCTCTCTCTCTCAAATAAAGAAATAAATCTTTAGAAAAAGAAAAAAGAGAGAGCTTGGAGAGATTATTCTAAACTAAAAGAAAATGAAGGGGTGCCTGGGTGGCTCAGTCGTTAAGCGTCTGCCTTCGGCTCAGGTCATGATCCCAGCGTCCTGGGATCAAGCCCCGCATCGGGCTCCCTGCTCAGTGGGAATCCTGCTTCTCCCTCTCCCACTCCCCCCTGCTTGTGTTCCCTCTCTCGCTGTCTCTCTCTCTGTCAAATAAATAAATGGAATCTTAAAAAAAAAAAATGAAGTCTCTTGAATTCCCTTTCATAGACAAATGGAAATCTCTGCCCCCCCCCCCCAGAGGAAACAGAGGCCATAGAGGAAGATAAGAATGGTCTCAAAGAACGTTGCCCTTTTCTGCACATCTGAGTGTACTGAGTAAGACAGCAGCCCAGCACCACCCGGTCTTGCAGGCATCTTGGTGCCGCCAGAGCCCAGCCTCCTGGGTATTTTGTGGTTTCCAGGCTGGCCACTTACAGGATAGTATAGTCTTATACTAGATCCCGGCCTCCTCACTCCCTGCTTGGGCCCAGTTAGCAGCTTCCCAAGTTGTCCGGGAGCAGGGGCATGCTGGAGCTTTGGTGCAAACTCACCAAGCTGGCTGTTGGATTTTCAGGAATTTTAGGAGCCAGTTGTTAAATATAGTCATTATTAAAAACTAAGTTACAAAAACTTATAGTGAACTAAATTGTATATTTTTCAAAAAGTAATAAATATAGGCATGCCTCATTTGATTGAGCTTCGCTGATACATTACGTTTTTTACAAGTTGCAGGTTGGTGGCAAAGCCTGCATCGAGCAAGTCTATCAGCACCGTTTTCCAGCAGCATTTGCTTACTTCATACCTCTGTGTCACAGTTTAGTAATTCTTGCAATATTTCAAACTTTTTCATTATTATTATCTTTGTTATGGTGGCCTGTGATCAGTAGGACTCACTGGAAGCTCAGATGAGATTAGCATTTTTTAGCAATAAAGTCTTTTTTTTTTTAAAGATTTTATTTATTTATTTGAGAGAGAGAGAGAATGAGAGACAGAGAGCATGAGAGGGAGGAGGATCAGAGGGAGAAGCAGACTCCCTACCGAGCAGTGAGCCCGATGCGGGACTCGATCCAGTGACTCCAGGATCATGACCTGAGCCGAAGGCAGTCGCTTAACTAACTGAGCCACCCAGGCACCCGCAATAGTCTTTTTTAAATGAAGATACGTACCTTGGGTTTTTGTTTTGTTTTGTTTTTTTACACACAATGCTGTTGAACACTTAATAGACTACAGCATAGTGTAAACATGACTTTTACATGCACTGGAAAACCAAAAAATTCATTTGACTCACTATCTTGCGATACTCTATTTCAGTGTCTCTCCAAGATACACCTGTACTCAAAAATCATCATTTCCTAATTATGTCACTCTAGTTTACTGTTATCTGTGCTTCCGAGGTGATTCATATCTATTGCCTCTGTGTGGTGGAAATACTTTATCATGAGCTGCTGCTGGGCATCTCTTGCCAAGTCCTTGTTCAGTGAAGTCATGCTGGGAGCTTGAACTCGACAGTGGTGGGAGGACTTACATCATGGCAACGGGCAAATGCTACACATTAGCACCACCGCCCCCACCCAAGAGAGCCAGCTGCTAGGTTTTTACCAGCATGCTCTTGCAGAGATGCTGACATGGGCCCTTTGTTCTGATAAAGTAGTAGGCGAACGAAAAAAATGCTTGAGAAACAACTATCATCAGGTGTGCTCTGGTCTGATTTGGGATTTAAACCATCAAGGAGCAATGAAAACAAATCCAGCCTTCCACAGCTCCACGGAGGAGGGAGATACCCAATGAGACCCTCCACATGTTCCCAGACTTGGGATGGACACCAAACAAGTAGCTACTCACCTCAATACCTTTGCTCTCTTTTGCCACTATTGACTATCCACAGTGCTGGACAGGGAACCTCTGAGCTGGCTTCTCCCTAACCATCCCTATAGGGGTAAAATACCGCGCTTCTCGTCCTGCTTCCCTGCAGCAAGAGAATGAGGGAGCACAGAGGGGCCCCGACCTCCAGGACCGGGCCACAGAACCCTGCCATCCACTCTGCAAACACTCCCCCTCCACTGGCCGGCACTGGGTTTTTACTAGCTAGCAGAGCTGAATCCTTGGCAAGACAGCTCTCTTTACAGAGTAACAGGTATAAAAATAGCAGGTGATCCCACTTCCATGAAAGGTGCCAGGCACAGTGTTTCTGGGACCACAGCAGTCCCAGCCGGGCTTGGGGGCTGAGCGGGGCTTGTCGCCAGATCCACTTACCAACTGTGTGTGGCCTTGGGCAAGCGATGATCTTTCTAAGCCTCCCATTTCCTCATCTGTAAAGCAGGAAAACAGATTGTCAAAAGTTGAGTGAGCAAGAGAAAGAGCTTTAAGTCTATACTTTTCAAAGTTACAATGTTAACCAAGGCAACAGGGCGGGAAAGCGTTGTTTACCTATAAATAAATTGGAGGTAGGTGTCCTAGAGGTGGGACATAATCTAAATCTTTGCTATCACAGCAGAACAGCAGAAGTCAAACATAGTTTTTTAGAGAGAAGGGGTAGCTCCTAGAAGCAGTAAAAACAGAACCAATAAATTAGTTACCTTTAGGGTGCGGGACTCAAGGTGGGGAGAAGTCACAGCTGCTGCTTCTCGTCTCCGGATTTTCTGATTTTTTTTTACTTCTTAATCTCGTTCATGCATTTCCTTGATTCAGTTTTTAAAGAAGAAAACAGCTGTGCGTTATATTAGCTAGATTTGTAACCTCTTGAAAAGTGAGTTGATTTCATTTGTTCTTTTCCCCGTAGTTGAGTTTACATGCCTTGCTATGGGAACACTGGAAATAGTTTATTTTTCTAGTTCCTAGGCTTTGTAAATCTGTAGCTCCTTTAAGTCTGTGTCTAATGTCTCTTGATTTATAATATGTTGGCCAATCATTCCAAATAAAGCCTTCTTTTCTTGCAGAAATATGTAAAGAAATAGCTCCAGATGATGCAGAGTTTGAAACGAATGCTTTCATCTCCGGAGTACCATGCTGGGTGGCAAGCAGGTGTGGACGCCTGAGTCCGCCTCCTGCTTGGTCTCTGCAGCAACCCCCCGCCCCTATCTCCAGGCCAAATAGGAAATCTTGGACCCATGAATCCCAAGTTCACAGGCCTGTCAAGGGTGCTTGGATAGGCTTCAGGAGACCCACAACCCCCCACCCCCGAATTACTTTTGCAACCATGTGTTTTTCTGGGAAGAGTATCCAGTCCTCAGATTTTCAGTCTCCAGGACCCTAGAACTGAAAAGGTTTAGCTGTAACTAGGTCTCTAACAAAGAAATTCAACTGGTTTTTACAGCTATTCAAACAGTAAAGATTGTGATTCTCTACCCCTTCTTATGTTTGTAACATAGAGTGGTGGCTAAGAGCTCCAACTCTGGACCAGACTGCCTGGGTTTGAAGCCAACCTCCACCGGTTCCCAGCTGTGTGGCCTCAGGCAAATTACTTAACCTCTCTGTGCCCCTGTTTTCCCAATTAAAAAATGGGGCAAATAATAGCCCTACCTCACTGGCTTGTTGTTGTGAAGGTTAAATGAGTTAGTAGAGGTAGAGTGCTTAGAACAGAGCCCGGCACCAGGGCGGCGTTAGGGGGTACCTCCTTCACGTAGACTGTCAATTCACAAGTGGTCACCCCCAACTGAACTGTGTGGATATCTTCTGTGTGCTTGGGGATGTAGCTGAAGCACATCGGGGCGATCATGCCTCAGAAGGCCCTAAATGCATAGATGACACCACAGAAATTCCCTGGAAAAGAGCAGAGCCTTCCGGTTGCTGCATGTTGTGTGTTGAGGGTTGGGGGGCGAAGGTCAGGGCAATTCCTGCATTAAGCACCCCCTCCGTGGCTTCCTGGGGCCTCGTCATCTGCTGGGCTAGACGGGCTGTGTCCCAGCCTTACCATCATGCCACCTCACCCACCCTCTTCTGAGCCCACCTGGCCAACATGCCCACATCCCCGAAGACCCTGCTTGGGTCCCTCCTCTGAGAAGCCCTTTGTGAGCACCTGCTCCCTGCGGGACACACGCAGCTCTTCCTCAGGAGCCCCTGCGCCCTGAGTGCCACGCCCCACGTCCCGAGTAGCTCACTGAATTCTCGCAACAACCCCTATAGTAAACAGAAATGATTGTGATCCCCCCCCCACCCCGTTACAGGTCAGGAAATCTAGGCTGAGAGGAACTTCTGAAACAATCTCTCGGAGGCCAGGACCCATGCTTCAATCCACTTCTGCCGACTTCCTCTCTGATCCCACCTAATCCCAGCAGCACTTTTTTTTTCCATTAATTTGTTTCAGATCTCCTGAGAGCTCCTGAAGACAGAGATCATACCTGATTCAGTTCTGTACCTCAAACATCTATCCCTGTGCGGGACATAACAATAGATGTTCAATAAACGGGTGGATGGATCTTGAATTCAAGCTCTGCAAAATTTCTACCCCAGCTTTCCCCAAACGACAGACTTCAAAAAAAGGCTTCCAGCCTAGAGCTGGTGATTTTTAGATACTTAATGAATTCAACAAACAAGTATGTGTTTAGTGTCTATTATAGGGCAGGCAAGCACGGAGGATACAGCAATAAACAGAACAGCAGAGCCTCCTGCCCTCGGGGCGCTTATGTTCTCTTTCCGTGGACAGATGCTTCGTGGGGACCCCCTCCCAGCAGTGCCCTTATGATGCCTCTTGCTAGGCACCTTGTGGTGAACAGGACAGACATGCCCTCTTAGAGTCCCAACCCTGATGAGTACACACACGGATATCAATAAAAAAAATTACTCCCACACTCAAACCAACATCGGGCCAGCTCCCAGGCTGGTTAACAGCCCCAGGGCCCCGTCTCAGGCCTGGAAGCCGCCTGACGTACCCCTCTGGGCTCTTGGTCCCACTTGCTGAGGGGCTGCTGCCCACCCCCCCGTACTGAAGGGCTTGGGCAGGTCCAGGATGCGGCTATCTTGCCCGGGCTGCTCTTGGCACGGGGATCAAGGAGAGAGTGCTGCCAGGAGTGCAGGCTGGGGAAGCCAGGCTCCGAGGCCACAGCTGGCTCCGGGTCCAGAGGTCTGACCGGAGGTCACTCGCGGGGACATACTTCAGACGCTCTGAGACTGACCAGGGACCCAAGGTCACAGAGCTCACCACATGTGTCCTTCCTGGTATTTTCCTTCCGTGCACAGGTTTTCGACCTCAAAATCCCTTATAGCTGTGGAAGGGGGAGGGAAGGTACAGTCTCTTACCTCAAAGGAGATCTTGTTAGGTTATGAAGGCTCAATGCAGAGTCCAGAGGATGGGTCAAATCAACCCTGATTCTTTCCTTCCAGTTGCCCCTCTCTCCACCCTATGGGACAAACACAGCTGTTTGACCGTCTGACCTCCGTACACAATGCGACAGTCTTGGCACTGACCTTCAGCGTTCTTCAACAGCCCTTTCTCGGTCTCCCGCACCGTCTCACCTTCCACCGACCTGGGCACCCAGTGGTGTCCCCCTCAGTCTAACACCCTCTCCCACACACCCCTGCAGCTTCTGTAATTAGCTAGTTTTACTTCAGTGACTACATATGCATGCGTTGGGTTACTTGGGTGGACGTGGAGATTGCTGGAATTTAGAGGCTTCTTCATCTTCAAGGGTTCAGATCATCTCTTCATTTAGGGGTGGGCCTGCGGCCTCAGAGGACTCTTATTCTGTTAAACCAGTTGAAGGAGAAAGTCTGGAAGGAGGTCAAAGTAAAGGACGGGGTCACCACAGGTGTCTGGAAGTGCTGGGCTCACCCTTTTATGCAGTGTGGAGCACCTTTATTTTCTTCTCTCCCTCTCCACCCAAATAACTCTTCCTTGATTTTGAAGATTGAGTTTAAGTAGCCTCTTCTAAGTCACCTTCCCGGAACCGTGCAGGCCGCAGTGACCTTCAGTGGCTCGGAGTGCGGACAGCTGTCGCTCTATATGCAACACATCCGATCACATCTTGCCACTGTGTCTCCTCCTGGGTCGAGAACTGGACCTGCTCATTTTGGCCACCTGGGTCTGCCTGGAGGGCACGCTTGAGTGCAGTCTCCATGGCGAACTCCTTGGGGGCAGAGGGCATGCCTCTACCTCTGGGAACCTCCTTTGCCCTCTGACTTCCTGACGGTGTGTGTCGGTGCGTACCTCCTTGCTGACTGATGGCAGATTCAAGAGGGAAACTGGCTCTATCATTTGATTTCCCTCTTGATAAGACAGCGAGGTAGCTGGCACTTTGGGGAGGTGCCCGTACCTTGTCTATTCTTTGCCTCATGTGCTGTTTCAGCAAAAACCGAGGCTGACTAGAAATCCAAAGGAGTGGAAATTACAGGGAACGCTGTGCTTTTCTAGGCCTGTGTTCCAAAGCGATGATAAAACATCCAAGTACACTTCCATTCCCAGCTCAGAAACCACAACAGATGGAAGCAAGTGTGGGCAGTAATTAGAGGCCAAGGTGAGGGAACAGAGTCATCCATCAGGCCCTGGAAAACCTCATCAAAGGAAATCAGCACAGAGAATAAAGGCTCGTTGGGTTTGTTTTGGAAGAAACGGTGGGGGATGATGTCCTGGCTCCTACAAGTACAAGAGACCTGGCAGTGGCTGGGACCATGCAAATATGAAACCCAGTAATTACGTGTTGTGGGCAGGGCCAGCCTGCTTTCCCAGTGCCACATCCACTTCCTGTGGTGGGTGGCAAGTCTGCAAGGCACCGTGATGCCAAGTTTTCTCAGCTCTTTTCTCAGTGTGGTGAAGTTAGAGTAAGGCCAAAGAGCGTGGTCTAGAAACACAGAGTGAGCTACTGTGAAGATTGTTTGAGCAAGGTGGGCCAGGTTTCAGCCAGGACGGCTAGTTCCTCGTGCACAGAAGCTAAGGCATGGAGCACATGCTGGTGGCCGAACCAGGCTGGGAGAACATGGATCTCCGGGATGAAGAGGTACCGAAGGCAGGAGAAGGGCAAGGAAGCACCTTCTCTGACCTGAGCCAGCAAACAGACCAACTTCATCATCTTTCCCAAGAACTGCATGGAAGCATCTAGGGACTTCTGACCCTGTGAGAAGTTTAGGGTCATGGTCCCCACACTCTCCCTCAGCCCTGGCATTAGCACCCTCTCTTAGGGGACATGGCTCCTTTCCCTTCACCCCACCAAACTAACTAATAAAAATGATCTAATCTGGTAAAAGTCTTCATTGGGTACCTTCACATATAGGAGCGATGGAAGTGGGAGGTACCCAAGAGGATGAAATTGTGGTTCCCACAATTTTGGACGGGAGAGGGGCTCAAAGGAGGGAAATGGCCAATGGGGATGACAGCAATGACAGCTTTGGGAGTGTCCCTCCAAAAGGAGTCCTTCCCAGGGTTTGCACTCCATGGAGTAACACTCCAGGATATCTGTTCCCTTATGCCCCTGAGACTGGGTGGCACAGCCCTGGGGTGACGACCATCCACAGAGCCCCTTTGAAGTCAGGGTCTCCAAAGGACCAATCCAGAATTCTCATTCACTCCACCTCCATGAAGATTGTGGAATAAAGCCTTGCCCGTAGCGAGTGCTCAATAATCTCATAGGACGTTTGTGCAAAATCTGCTTACCCCACGTAAGCCCTCTAGATTTTTAGGAGGCACCCCTACTGAGATGTGTTACTCAGCATTATAGGAGTTACTTTCTCACATGCCATGGCTGACATGCAGCTCACTGACTTGGTAAAGATACCTAGTGAGCTGAAGAACAACACGCCTGCTGTCTCTTCTTTAGTTCTCTACAGGCACGTGTCACCAAAAAGTCTTTGAATTTTTTTTCCCCAGCTGTACTGAGATATAATTGATTGAATATCTTTAAAGATGCAAAAAAATTAAACAATTAATTTAAATAATAATTTCAAGAATTATTTTTAGGTTGTATTTGCTAACACTTATATTAATATTTGTTCATAGGACAAAATCTAGGAAAAACCCAGAAAATTATTATTTTTTTAAAGATTTTATTTATTTATTTGACAGAGAGACACAGCGAGAGAGGGAACACAAGCAGGGGGAGTGGGAGAGGGAGAAGCAGGCTTCCCGCGGAGCAGGGAGCCCACTGTGGGGCTCGATCCCAGGACCCTGGGATCGTGACCTGAGCCGAAGGCAGACGCTTAACGACTGAGCCACCCAGGTGCCCCAAAACCCAGAAAATTATTAAAATAATCTTTTAAATCTTTTGTAACTGCACAAATAAGAGTTAGCCACCACTATCTTTCTATAAATATGCTTCCAGTATTCTTTCTCTGCCCCTTTTTATTTTTAAAATTAAGATCCTATGGTGTTATATCTGGTGTATACACACACACACACACACAGATAGAATATCTTTTATTTAGTCATATTGTAAATATTGACAAAGACTATTTCTTCACACACTCCTAGAACCACTACCACAATCAAGATACAAAATATTTCCATTACCTGGGGCTCCCGGTGGCTTTGTCAGTTAAGTCTCTACCTTTGGCTCCCTGCTCAGCGGGAAGCCTGATTCTCCCTCTCCCTCTGCCTGCCGCTCCCCCTGCTTGTGTTCTCTCTCTCTGTCAAATAAATAAAATCTTTTAAAAAATATTTCCATTATCTCAAAAAGTTCTCCGTGTCCTTTCTCAGTCAGTGCTTTCAATCCCCAGCTCCAGGAGACCACCAATCAGCTATCTGTCACTGTGGATTAGATTTGTTCTTCTAGTGTTCATATAAATGAAATCATACCTATATGTTCTTTTATGTTGCCTTCCTCACTCAGCCTAGTGTTTTGGAGGTTCGTCCACATTGTTGCAGGTATAAGTAGTTCATTCTTCTTGATTATGGAGTAGTATTCCATCATATGGGTACAGCACAGTTTACTCATTCACCTGCTGATAGATATTTGGATTGTTTGCAGTTTGGGGCTACCGTGAGTAGAGCTTCTATGTATAGGTCTTTGTGTGGACATGTCTTCATTTCTCTTGAGTAAATAAATATGTAGGAGTAAAGTTACTGAATCATAAGGTAGGTGTATGTTTAAATGTTTTAAAAAGATTTTATATATTTATTTGAAAGAGAGCATGCATGGGAGAAAGAGCACATGTTGGGGGGTGGGGAGAGGGGCAGACGGAGAGGGAGAAGCAGACTCCCCGCTGAGCAGGAAGCCTGACGCTGGGCTCCATCCCGGGTACCCTGGGATCATGCATGACCTGAGCCAAAGGCAGATGCTTAACTGACTGAGCCACCCAGGTGCCCCAAAATTTATGTTTCTTTTTAAATTTTAAATTTATACATTAAATTTATACATTTTATAAAGTCAAAGTGTTTTTCAAAATATTGGTACTGTCTTATAGTCCCACAGTAGTGTATGATTGTCCCAGTTCCTCCACACACTCATGAACACTTGGTATGGTCAGTCTTTTTAATTTTAGCCATTGGATTGAGTGTGTCATCACATATACTATTTTTAAATTTAACATTCTATTGTGAGTGTTACCCATGATATTAAATATTCTTTGTTAATGTCACTCAGTGGATGTATCATATATCATTGTATAGGTGAATCATACTTCAAGTAAGTAGCTCCTTATTGGTGAACATTTAGGTTGTAGTGTTCTCCATAAATAATGCTGACATCTTTGTCAGAATAAGTGGTTATTTCCTTAGGATAAATTACTTAAATAATTCTTTCTTATGGTAGGAAAATTAGAAAAGTACAAATAAGCAAAAAGAACAAAATCGTCTATAATTTTACCACTTTGAGATGGCTAAACCACATCTCAAAATAAGGTCAAATTTTAAAAAGTGATCTTCATTTAAAAAAATTAAAAAGAGTCATAGTGGAGAAAAAAGTGATTTAGGACTCTCTTTTTTTTAAGATTTTATTTATTTATTTGACAGAGAGAGAGACACAGAGAGGGAACACAAGCAGGGGGTGTGGGAGAGGGAGAAGCAGGCCCCCCGCGGAGCAGGGAGCCCGACGCGGGGCTCAATCCCAGGACCCTGGGACCATGACCTGAGCCAAAGGCAAACACTCAACGACTGAGTCACCCAGGTGCCTCTATTTAGGACTCTTGATACATTTAGCAAGAATTCATTTCTGGCATTTTGGCAAGGAGAAGAGATTCTACCATTTCAGTCTGTCCAATGGGCAGCTTTGATGCTTCCAATGGAAGGGGTCTAAGCCTTGAAAATAACCCCCTACCGATCTCAGGGCAGACTCTAGAGATGCTATCTCTAAAAATCTTAAATGGAGAGGTGCCTGGGTGGCTCAGTCAGTTGAGCATCCGACTTTTGATTTCCGCTCAGGTCACTATCTCAGGGTTGTGGGATCGAGCCCTGTGTAGGACTCCGCACTCAGTGCAGAGTCTGCCTGAGATTCTCTCTCCCTTCTCTCTGCCTCTCCCCCTCATGTGCACTCTCTCTCTCTCCAAAATAAATAAATAAAAATCTTTAAATAAAAAAAAATTAAAATTAAAAATCTCAAATGGAGCCCTAACTCTCCCAGAAGAGGCTGAATGTACAAAACTAGGAAGCAAAACAATAGGCTCTTTCTTTCAACCACCCTCCTCCCCCTCTGCCAAATATATGTATTCCACAAAGCATTCTCATAGAATTCTCCCATTTTTGGGCTTTGGAAAGAACGCGTTGCTAGACACACCCTCTCTGGATCCAGGGAGGAACTTCTTAAAAGCTGGGTGGTGTGTGTTAAAAGCAAAGAGAGGCTCAGAGCTGGACTGCCAGGACAGGTCCTGACAGGCAAATGTCTCAAAGTCCCAGGCTGGTGAGCACCTGAGGAAGACACACAGGTAGAAATCACCACTCTCAAGACGGTAAAGAAAGGAAGAGAAAAACAACTTTTTTTCATCCAGAGGTCATAGTTACAGGCATGCACACTCAAGCAATTCCTAAGCAGACTCAAGAAGCAACACTTAGAAAATGTGTGCCGAAGTTGCCTTGCCAGACACTGGATTGGGTGCTGGGTGGGCGTTAGCCCAAACAGTGACTCCACGAGGTTGTTAGTATTGTTACCCCAATTTTGTGGACAAGGAAATAGAGGCTCAGAGAGGTGACACAGCTCAAAATTGTGACCTGAGCCTCTCTGACCTGATTCATATTATCTGGACCCACAGAGCCCAGTAATTCCCAGTCCTTTCCCTCTCCCCGACACCAAGCAGCTCTCAGAACGGTGCCCCGTAATACTACGTCAGCTCTGTTCATTATATTCACGTCTGCATCGACAGCGGGTCACACTGGTGCTTTGGAAAGTATATATGCCAGAATGCACGAAACATGAGTGACTCTCGTGGGGCGCCCTGGGAGACAGCACTGTGTAGAGCAAAGGGCATTGGCCTGGGGATCAGAAGGGTTGAGTCCTAGCTCGAGATCTGCCATCAAGGGCCTAACAACCATGGCTAAGTTATCTGACCTCTCTGGGTCCTTGCTGGTTCCTCTGTACTAGCACCGACATGCCAGCATCCTTCTCCCCATTTGATTAAAAGGCTCCCTCAGGGCTCCTCGTCGGGACTGAGACTGTATACTTCTGTATGAAGTCTCTAGAGCTACTCAGCGACTAGAGCAAACAGCCTGGATGGAATCCCAGCTCTACCACTTACTGGTTGTGGGACCTTAAGAATTTATTAACTTGGGCGCCTGGGGGGCTCAGTCGTTAAGCATCTGCCTTCGGCTCAGGTCATGATCCCAGAATCCTGGGATCGAGCCCCGCATCGGGCTCCCTGCTCGGCGGGAAGCCTGCTTCTCCCTCTCCCACTCCCCCTGCTTGTGTTCCTTCTCTCGCTGTGTCTCTCTCTGTCAAATAAATAAATAAATAAATCTTAAAAAATAAAAAAAATTAAAAAAAGAATTTATTAACTTACTGTGCCTCAGTCTCCCCTCTGCAGCATGGACGTGCCTCACGGGGTTGTTGTAAGGCTTTCAGAGATAATGCCTGGGACAGAGTAAATAGCACATACATGTTATGATCACTATGAGTGACATGCAGTCTATACATCCCCATCCCTCAGTTGGTTTTTCTTGGTGTCTAAGCCCCTGTTCATCAGCTCCTCTGACGAAGGAATGAACTTCACACGGGCCTCTGGTTCTCTTCAGAAGGTCGCAGCAGGGCAGGACACATGCTTGGTGCTGTTATTTAAAGGTGTTTAAACCCAGAGCCAGTCGGACAGCTGACTCCTGCTTATTGAGGAGAGTCCTGCCTCTCAGTTCACTGCACAGTGATTGTATCATGGGCAAGATGCTCCCCCAGAAAGAAACAACATTAGTATGGTGTCTGGAGTCAAATTCCACTGGGGGTGTGTTCACTTGTGATCTGAAACCAGGGCAGAGCCAGGAATACGGGAAGAGGGGAAGGCATTTTATAGACATTACCCAACTGCTTTTCTTTTTTTTTTTTTTAAGATTTTATTTTTTTACATGACAGAGAGAGACACAGCGAGAGAGGGAACACAAGCAGGGGGAGTGGGAGAGGGAGAAGCAGGCTTCCCACTGAGCAGGGAGCCCGATGTGGGGCTCAATCCCAGGACCGTGGGATCATGACCCGAGCCAAAGGCAGACACTTAACAACGGAGCCACCCAGGGGCCCCTGCTTTTCATTTTAGAGACTGATGAGAGCCCAGTGTCCTTGCTCCTGTATTTTAATAAAATTGTCCCAATGGCACATTGCCTTAAAACCTGCAAGCAAACCACACTAATTCAGACCAGGTGGAATTAATAAAATGTCATCAGCACTTTAGACTCATTCAATTCAAAATATTTTCTAATTTCCCTTGTGATCTCTTCTTTGACCCATGGGATATTTAAAAGTGTGTTGTTTCATTTCTAAATAATAAGGGATTTTCCAGATATCTTTCTTTTATTGGCTTCTGGTTTAATTCCATTGTAGTTAGAAAACATACTTTGATTTCAATTCTTTTAAATTTGCTAAAGTTTGTTTTTATGGTCTGGGTTATAGTGGGGCACAGTTTGTGTGTACTTGAAAAGATTGGGTATCTACTGTCAGGTGGAATGTCCTATAAATGTCAATTAGGTCAAGTTGGTTAATAGTGCTGTTCAGGTCTTTTCTATCAGTGTTCCACCCTCTGCTTTATCTACTTGCTCTATCTTGTTACTAAGAGAAGAGTGTTGAAATCTCCAACTATAATTATGAATTTCTCCATTTCTTCTTCCATTTCTATCAGTTTTTATCTCAGATATTTTGAAGCTCTGTTATTGGGTACATACATATTTAGAATTGTTATATCTTCTTGATAAAATTGTTCTTTTATCATTAGGTAATGAACTTCTTTATTGCTGGTAATATTCCTTGTTTTCAAAGTCCATTCCAGCATTCTTTTGATTAGCATGACATATCCTTCTTCATCTTTCTACTTTTATTTGTGTCTTTATATTTCAAGTGTGTTTCTTACAGGCAACATATAGCTGGGTCTAGCCTTTTAGTTCAATTCGATTATCTCTCCTTTTTATTTAGGGGTGGTTCAGACTATTTACATTTAATGTAGTTAACCACATGTTGAATTTAAATCTACTTTGTTACTAGCTGTTTTCCGTTTATCACATCTTTTCTTTGCTTCTTTTTTCTCTTTTCCTGTCTTCTTTGAATTCATTTGGTATTTTTTTTTAATTATTCCATTTTACCTCCACTTAAACTTTTTATTTATTTATTTATTGTTTTAAGGAAACTCTACTCCCAACATGGGGCTCAAACTCACGACCCCAAGATCAAGAGTTGCGTGCTACTGACTGAGCCAACCAGTTACCCCCTCCACTTAAACTTTTTAAATTGAAAGTGTTCCCATACAAGGGTACCTGGGCAGCTCAGTCAGTTAAGTGGCCAACTTTTTATTTGGGCTCAGATCATGATCGCACGGTTGGTCGTGGGATTGAGCCCCGAGAGAGACTCCGCACTCAGTAGGAAGTCTGCTTGAGATTCTCTCTTACTCTCCCTCTGCCCCTCCCCGCCATGTTCTCTCTTTCTCTCTAAAATAGATAAACAAAAAGTCTTTTTAAAAAAATGTGAAAGTGTTCCCATACACACTGAAACCTTTCAGTGTATTGATTCTTTTAATGTGTTGTTAACTAGAGGTTCTTTTTACTTTAACTGAAAGAGTGTGGACTTTGGAGTCAACCAAACCTTCAGTTGTAAGCTGGCTCGGCCACTAACTGGCTGTGTGACCTTTGTCATCTCAATATCTATAAGATTCAACTTCCCCATTTGTTGTTTTAAAGTTTTACTTATTTAAGTAATCTCTACCCAATGTGGGGCTCGAACTCATGACCCTGAGATCAAGAGTCACAATGCTCTTCTGACTGAGCCAGCCAGGCGCCCCTCCACTTCCCCATTTGTAAAATCATTACTACTTTTCAGAGTACAATGAGAATGAAATGAGAAAATAATTACAGTATCTAGCTTAGGTCAGGAACATAACACATATTCAATGTTACTTTCTTTCATTTTATTTGTTTGTCTTCTTCAGACAGCTCTTTTTCTAAAAGAGGTTTGAACACTAGCAAGGAAGTAAATACCTGGGCTATTTACTACCACTTCCGATCATCCTTCATGAGCCCAGAGCAGGCATTGCTAATCAACCACAGCACTGTTTTTGTTTTTCCTTAATATTTATGATTTTTTAATTTTTTTAAAGATTTTATTTATTTATTTGTCAGAGAGAGAGAGAATGCACAAGCAAGGGGAGTGGCAGGCAGAGGCAGAGCGAGAAGCAGGCTCCCCGCTGAGCAAGGAGCCCGATGCAGGACTCCATCCCACGACCCTGGGATCATGACCTGAGCCAAAGGGAGCCACTCAACACACTCAACACACTGAGCAACCCAGGCATCCCTTAAGATTTATTTTCATTTATTTTAGAGAGAGAGCGAGCATGTGGGTGCAGTGGAGGGGGAGGGACAGAGGGATAAGGAGAGAGAGAATCTTTTTTTTTTTTTTTAAAGATTTTATTTATTTATTTGACAGAGAGAGACACAGCAAGAGAGGGAACACAAGAGGGGGAGTGGGAGAGGGAGAAGCAGGCTTCCCGCGGAGCAGGGAGCCCGATGTGGGGCTCGATCCTAGGACCCTGGGATCATGATCTGAGCTGAAGGCAGTCGCTTAACCAACTGAGCCACCCAGGCGCCCAGGAGAGAGAGAATCTTAAGTAGATTCCCTGCTGAGCACTGAGCCCAATGTGGGGCTCGATCTCACAACCCTGAGATCACGACCTGAGCTGAAACCAAGAGTCAGACGCTTAACCAACCGCACCACCCAGGCGCCCCAACCACAGCCTTGTCTTAAATAAACTCAGATATAACGTTGTGCCAACCAAATGGAGATGCACCAAAATATGAAACCCATCTGCCACCAAGGGTTAACACATCAACCCTACTGAAAGTCTTTTTAATACATTTATTATTGTAATTGGGTTAAATCCCCCTTTTCTCTACTTTTTACCTTGTTCATTTAATCAAACCCTTCACTAAGGGTATTGCAAAGGAAAACTCCCGTTTGTTCAGCTCCAGTGATCCCAAATGCTGAACCAATGAGGTTTTTATTTGGCATCTGTGAAACCAGACACCAAAGAAGAGAACAGGGTGAAAGCAGAGTCATTTGGCCAGAGGTCAGGGGCAGCACCGCAGGGCCGGTTCATCGCCTCTCATTTTAGAGTCTGACACAAACACGTGATGAGGGCCTGGTGTCTCATGATGAGCACCAACTATTCCTCCTGGGGCCTCGGGTGTCACTTAGCTATGGATGGACAAAGGATGATCTGTCATTTGCTTTGAAAAAAGCCTTGACCTTGTACCATAGCACAGCACTGAACACCCCTTGTCCAGCTGCCTCTTCCCTGCCCAGCCCTGAATATAAAGACTTCCTGTTAGTGGTGCTGGGGCCATCGGCCACGTCCAGAGACGAGCTGGGACTCAGGAGCATATATGCAGCTTTGTCTCCTCAGGATCCTGAGCCTGCTGGGAGGGGACTGGCCTGGTCAGTGGCTCCCAGGCTGCCCTCCTTGTAACCCCAGGAGGGACTGATTTATAACAGGACTGGCTTCTGTTTATTTAGGAAAACATCAGTGAGAAAACAACCCTGCTGCCTGAAGGAACATTAAAAGAGGTCCCCTAGCCTACTCTCGGCCTGGATCTGCAGGGACACCTGTGTTCTCTGCCACCACCCTCCTTGCTCTCTCTTCTTACTGTTCCTCCTTATTGTTGCTGTTTTGGGAAGCTTCATAACGACATGGCGGGGGGCCTCTTGAATATTCCCACATTACTAGTAGAGTGTTCTATACTTGCACCAATTTGGAACATAGAAAGAAACTGAGTGAGTGCCTCCTTCTAACATACTTCTGTGATTTGGGCAGATATTACCAGAATCCTTAGAAACAGGGTTGGAGGAAAGAGTTCCTTCTACTCCATTTATCACGGATAAGGTGTCTTGCTCTGGCATTTACTTTTTAGAAAACGGTTTTGGTCCAAATGTGTAAGAATAGTTTAAAAAGTTAGATAGATAGATAGATAGATAGATAGATAGATAGATAGATAGATAGACAGATAGATAGATAGATAGATAAATAGATAGACACACATACACACACAGGATTCCTACTCTGAGTTTGCAGTGGTGCTATTCAAATCTTACTGCAAGGAGGAGATGCAGCTTCAACCCATGGCCTCTGAGTTCTTGTGGCCCCTAAGACTGTTTCATGTTCACGATCATTTGGGAATGTCATAGCTCTATGCCAACATCACTTAGGCAAAATAATAATGGTAACAATAACAAAAACCACTCAAATATCTATGGAGCATCTGCTTTAAGTTGGCTGCTTTAAATGCAACCCCTCATTTCATCCTTATCAGGGTCCTCTGAGCTGAACATATTAAACCCTTGTCTAAAAATCTTGAGTGCCAATGAACAGCTAACCCAGAGTAATGCAGCTAGGTGGCAGAGCTGGGATTTTTTTTTAAGGTATTTTATTTTTAAGTAATCTCTATACCCAATCTCTATGTGGCTCAAACTCACAACCCTGAGATCAGTAGTCACATGCTCTACTCACTGAGCCAGCCAGGCCCCTCAGAGCTGGGATTTGAACCCAAGCCTAGAACCTGACTCTAAATCCGTGCTTGTTCAACTCTTCCTGATATATAAAGAGATGCATTACTTCCCTAAGACTACAGTGATGAAATGTGGATTTTTTTTTTTTCTCTACTCGGAAGATGGAGTCCTACAAGAGTTTCTTCCCAACACAGAGGGCAGGAGAGGAACTGGGAGAAGCCACCTCGTCCACTCCCACGATTGATCACGGATGGACACCAAGGTGGGCTAAGGCTCTAGCAGAGCTAGGAATTGTCACTCAATGCCGTCAGCCCCTAGAGTCAACAGCTCCTGTCCTCTCAGCATGTCTCCTTTTCCCCACACCACCACACACCTCACTCCACATACTGAGTGCCAGTCCCTGGACCTGACAGAAGCTGCCACTCCTAGATCTCCTCTCAGCTTCACCTCGAGAAATGCTCTTACCTCCCCACTTTCTTCAAAGTTTACCTCAGTGTCTGGGCTTCCGTGAGCCTTTGGTGATTCCCAGGCCACAGTCAGCAGTCAGGCCCTGTGCTTCCATGGCAGTTGGCACCTGAAATGTGCCATCTATCACACAATATTTTTTTTAAGATTTTATTTATTTATTTGACAGAGAGAGACACAGCGAGAGAGGGAACACAAGCAGAGGGAGTGGGAGAGGGAGAAGCAGGCTTCCCACTGAGCAGGGAGCCCGATGTGGGGCTCAATCCCAGGACCCTGGATCATGACCTGAGCTGAAGGCAGATGCTTAATGACTGAGCCACCCAGGCGCCTCTCTATCACACAATATTAAAATGAATTACTTTGGGGGGGCACCTGGCTGACTCAGTTAAGTGTCTGCCATCGGCTCAAGTCATGATCTTGGGGTCCTGGGATTGAGTCGGGCTCCCCACTTGGCAGGGAGTCTGCTTCTCCCTCTGCCCCTCCCCCCCTGCTTGTGCTCTCTCTCTCTCTCTGTCTCAAATGAATAAATTTTAAAAATCTTTAAAAAAAATATAATGAACTATTTTTGTTTCTTCCTTTTCTCGGTAGACCATGCAGTCTCTAAAGGTAGGGGACAAGGGTTACTAGTCTTTCAAAGGGCCTAGCACAGGTCCTCAATAATGGTTAGTTGAACTAAATGGAATTTATTTAAATTGCTTTAAACCAGCTCATTGACACAAAATTCAGGCAGGAATATATTTCATGATTTGTTATGAAGATTATTCAATAATTTCTCTGCAATATCAAAAGGCTAAGGAGCAAATATTCTCATGAGTGGGTCCAGGCTTGCAATCTTAATTGAATATGTATATTTTGTGCAAGGTAGACACAGCTGGGTACACAAGATTTATACTTTCGTGTTATAAGAATGTAAGAGAATGAGGCAATTTTGAAATTATGACTAAAATATTGTGTGAGATGCTTATTGGAGACACCATGTGTTCTTCACAGAGTTGACTCGAGTTAGCACTACAGATTTACTCATTAGTTTGAGATAGTCTTTTAAATGCCTAGAAATAGACTCAGGAATCACCTCCTGGAGTCTGTTCTAGAAGTTTTACCATCCTTAGTCATCAGCCAATAATCACACTCTTCTCGGGGCTTTGCATACCTCATCTCAGACTCTCCTCCCCAACGTTATGAGGCAGACACTATTGGCCTCCCCATTTCTCATATGGAAAACTGAAGCAGCTTGAGGGAAAGTAACCTACCCAAGGCCTCACAGGGAGTGAGTGGTGGAGCGGGATCTGAACCCGGGCAGTCTGGCTCCAGAGTCCACGCTCTGTACACTACTACTCATCAGTATACTAATCCACTTAGAGCAAACTCACCCTTATAGATCTGGCTTCATCTGAATTATTACATATTTACCTCTTGACTTCCAGTTGTGTCCTCTGTGGGAGAGAGAAAAAAATATTTAACACTCTCTTTATAATCACACCATGAATATTGGAAGAGAGTTTTTAAGCTGTGTCTGAGTTTTCTTTCTAACACGTTTAAATAATTCCATTTAGTTTAAAATTTCTCGCAGAGATTCCCCCATCCCCGCCATGTTAGTCTTCATATTTTTCAGGGCACACTTGATTTCTTTTAGATAATTCTTCCCAAATTATGAAGGCCCTAACTGGATAAGAGTGTTCTCTAGCTAAGGCCCAACCAAGACCATATGTGGGAAAGTATTCAGGAGTTTTGCTTATCTTTTCCTCATTAACATTCCAGCATCGTGTTCTTTTGTTTTCCCAAATAGTTTCCTTCTTTGCTGACTAATTTTGTAGTCGTGACGCAGTTGTTGACTTTGAAAACTTTGTTAACATTTTTTTTTTTTTTTTACTATAGGGCTACAAGCCATTTCTCATCTTGTATTTGTGGTGTGGATCATTTTTTTAAAAAAATTTGTCAAGGCCAATCTAAAAGGGTCATAGTGAATTTAGTTCTTGCTGTTGGGATGTTGGCAACTCCACCTAATTTGGTATCATCCAACAAGAGCAAGATACTTATTCTCAACTCTATCATGTAGATCACTTGAAGAAAGTATTTATATAAACCTCTTTTCCCATAAATATACTTTTCTGGTTTCCAGATAGTCTGGGAGGGGTGAACTGAGTTCACATTTAATCTTTTCCAATAACTGCAGTTGATTATCCAAGCATTATGCCGACTTATGAAGAAACAATCAAAACTCATTTCCAAATCTGAAGAAATAGTGATGTTTGGCCACTGCTCAGTTCCTGGAGGACAATCAAAGTTGAATTTATTCTAAATACAGGAGGGATTGCAATGTTCTTTGGAAGTAAAAGCTTGGCCTAGATATCTGGAACTTACTGAGAGGGCTCTGCCCCTCATCTTGTTTCTAGACTGGCATTCCTTTTAGTTATTGCTAAACAGAGCAAATTTACAATCTGGTAGTAAGCCAGGGCAACTATGAACTGAAGTATTGGAAGTTTTTAAACACATGTTTTTACATTGCTTATTTTGTATCTTGTGTCCTAGAAAGAAGAAGACTTTTTTTTTTAAAGATTTTATTTATTTATTTGACAGAGAGAGAGGGAACACCAGCAGGGGGAGTGGGAGAGGGAGAAGCAGGCTTCCCACCGAGCAGGGAGCCCGATGCGGGGCTCGATTCCAGGACTCTGAGATCATGACCTGAGCCAAAGGCAGACGCTTAACGACTGAGCCACCCAGGCACCCCGAAGACAGATTTTTTTTTAAAAAAGGAAGTTTCCTGGCTTTTTGTGTGTTTTCATATTTGTAGGGTGAAGTGATGCGTTGCCTCTGCCAAAGAATCCCAGACCTGGCTGATAATCAGAACCACCTGGAAAGTCTGGAAAATTCATAGGGTCAACTCCTCCCTAGAGTTCCTGAATCTTCATCTTTTTTTTTTTTTTTTAAAGATTTTATTTATTTGACAGAGAGAGACACAGCGAGAGAGGGAACACAAGCAGGGGGAGTGGGAGAGGGAGAAGCAGGCTTCCTGTGGAGCAGGGGAGCCCGATGCAGGGCTCGATCCCAGGACCCCGGAATCATGACCCGAGCTGAAGGCAGACGCTCAACAACTGAGCCACCCAGGCGCCCCCTGAATCTTCATCTTGAAGCTGGTGTTAAAAAATGGGGGCAGGGTATCTCTATCTTCTGAAACCTCCCCAAATTGATTATATAATTTATTAAATCCATGCAATGGGGGGCACCTGGGTGGTTCAGTCATTAAGTGTCTGCCTTCACCTCAGGTCATGATCCCAGGGTCCTGGGATCGAGCCCCGCATCAGGCTCCTGCTTGGCGGGAAGCCTGTTTCTCCCTCTCCCACTCCCCCTGCTTGTGTTCCTTCTCTTGCTTTGTCTCTCTCTGTCAAATAAATTTTTAAAAATCTTAAAAAAAAAAAATCCAGGAGTGCCTGGGTGGCTCAGTCGTTGGGCATCTGCCTTCGGCTCGGGTCATGATCCCAGGGTCCTGGGATCGAGCCCTGCATCGGGCTCCCTGCTCCGCGGGAAGCCTGCTTCTCCCTCTCCGACTCCCCCTGCTTGTGTTCCCTCTCTCGCTGTGTCTCTCTCTGTCAAATAAATAAATAAAATCTTAAAAACAAACAAGCAAAAATCCATGCAATGGAACATGAAACAGCCATTTGAAAAAGGGGGTAAAACTACATGTGCTGATATGGAAAGATCTCACATTAGTCACACAGAATGTGCAGTAAGTTCCCATTGAGATGAGCTTGTCATGCATATATATTTATATACATCCACTTATATGTGTATACTGTATACAGTTAGGGGCTTCACCAGTGGCACCTGTCAATCAGAAAGAATGCCACCAGAGTACCTGTGCCTCGTGTAACCCCTTAAGATGATTATAGGGGACAGGGTATGAGAGGACGGATCAGCAAGTCTGGGGTCCCATGGGGGTAGAGGCCGTGTCTTGTTTACCAACTGACATGGAAGTATTTCAACATGTTTACACCAGGTAAGGCTTCGTCCTGCATTTACATACATAAAACAATTCTGGAAGTTTTCCTAAGAATCTAAGATGAGTGGCCTATCCCTCAACACTGGTTGATTTAAGCAGATAATTTCCTGGGAGCCTACTGGGTAGAATTATCAGGAAAGCTTGGAAAATAGACAAGAATAATGGGGGGAGTAGACAACGAGCCACATCCACAGGCAAGGTCATACTGCTGAACCAGTCCAGGGTGCCCCCAACTGCTGCCACCCCTCCTCACTGGAGGCTGTTGCTGTCACCACTGCCACTTGCAAACTTTGGTTTGCACTTGGTACATCATCTTGTGATTATTTAGATTCAAAGGGGCACATGGCTATTGCTGCTAATGCTGCTATAGACATCAGGGTGCATGTACCCCTTCAAGTCTGTATTTTTATATCCTTTGGGGAAATACCTAGCAATGCAATTGCTGGATTGTAGGGTAGTTCTATTTTTAACTTTTTAAGGAACCTCCAGACTGTTCTCCAGAGTGGCTGCACCAGTTTGCATTCCCACCAACAGTGTAAGAGGGTTCCCTTTTCTCTGCATCGTCACCAACATCTGTTATTTCCTGTTAAGTTTAGCCATTCTGACAGGTGTGAGGTGATATATCATTGTGCTTTTGACTTGTATTTCTCTGATGATGAGTGATGTTGAGCATATTTTCATATGTCTGTTAGCCATCTGCATGTCTTCTTTGGAAAAATGTCTATTCATGTCTTCTGCCTATTTCTTGACTGGATTATTTGTTTTTGGGGTGTTGAGTTTGATAAGTTCTTTATAGGTTTTGCATACTAACCCTTTATCAGATACGTCATTTGCAAATATCTTCTCCCATTCCGTAGGTTGCCTTTTAGTTTTGTTGGTTGTTTCCTTTGCTGTGCAGAAGCTTTTTATCTTGATGAAGTCCCAACAGTTCATTTTCGCTTTTGTTTTCCTTGCCTTCCCTTTTTTCTTGTGGTTGACTTCGTTTTGTCTAGTAAGAAGTTGCTATGGCTGAGGCCAAAGAGGTTTCTGCCTGTGTTCTCTTCTAGGATTCTGATGGATTCCTGTCTCACATTTAGGTCTCTCACCCATTTTGAATTTATTTTTGTGTATGGTGTAAGGAAGTGGCCCAGTTTCATTCTTCTGCATGTTGCTGTCCAGTTTACCCAACACCATTTGTTGAAGAGACTGTCTTTTTCCATTGAATATTCTTTCCTGCTTTGTCAAAGATTAGTTGAGCATAGAATTGAGGGTCCATTTCTGGGTTCTCTATTCTGTTCCATTGATCTATGTATCTGTTTTTGTGCCAGTACCATACTGTCCTAATCACTACAGCTTTGTAATACAACTGGAAGCCCAGAATCGTGATGCCTCCAGCTTTGCTTTTTCTTTTCCAGGATTACTTTAGCTATCAGGGACTTTTGTGGTTCCATACAAATTCTAGGATTGTTTGTTCTAGCTCTGTGAAAAATGCTGGTGGTATTTTGATAGGGATTGGGATTGCATTAAATGTGTAGATTGCTTTGGGTAGTACCGACATTTTCACAATGTTTGTTCTTCCAATCCGTGAGCATGGCATGTTTTTCCATTTCTTTGCGTCCTCTTCAATTTTTTTCATATGTGTTCTACAGTTTTCAGAGTACAGACCTTTGACCTCTTTGGTTAGGTTTATACCTAGGTATCTTAATGGTTTTTTATGCAGTTGTAAATGGGATCAATTCCTTGATTTTTTTTTCCTGTGGGGGCTTCATTATTGGTATGTAGAAATGCAACAGATTTCTGTACACTGATTTTATATCCTGCGACTTTGCTGAATTCATGTATTAGTTCAAGCAATTTTTTGGTGGGATCTTTGGGTTTTCTACATAGAGTATCATGCTGTCTGCAAGTTGTGAAAGTTTGACTTCTTCCTTGCTGATTTGGATGCCTTTTATTTCTTTTTGTTGTCTGATTACTGAGGCTAAGACTTCTAATACTATGTTAAATAGTAACGGTGAGAGTGGATATTTCTGTCTTGTTCTTAACCATAAAGGAAAAGCTCTCAGTTTTTCTCCATTGAAGATGATATTAGCTGTGAGTCTTTCATATATGGCCTTTATGATGTTGAGGTATGTTCCATCTATACCTACTTTGTTGAGGGTTTTTTATCAAGAATAGGTGCCGTATTTTGTCAAATCCTTTTTATACATCTATTAAGAGGATCATATGGTTCTTATCGTTTCTTTTATTAATGTGATGTGTCACACTAATTGATTTGCAAATACTGAACCACCCCTGCAGCCCAGGAATAAATCTCATTTGATTGTGGAGAATAATTCTTTTAATGTACTGTTGGGTTCGATCTGCTAGTATCTTCTTGAGAATTCTTTTCATCCATATTCATCAGGGATATTGACCTGTAATTCTCCTTTTTTAGTGGGGTCTTTGGTTTTGGAATCAAGGTAATGCTGGCCTTGTAGAATGAGTTTGGAAGTTCTCCTTCCATTTCTATTTTTTGGAACAGTTTGAGAATAGGTATTAACTCTTCTTTAAATATCTGGTAGAATTCACCTGTGAAGCCATCTGGCCCTGGACTTTTGTTTGTTGGGAGATTTTAATTACTGATTCAGTTTCTTTGCTGGTTATGGGTCTGTTCAAATTTTCTTTCTTCCTGTTTCAGTTTCGGTAGTTTGTATAGGAATTTGACCATTTCTTCCAGATTGCCCAGTTTGTTGGCATATAACTTTTCATAATATTCTCTTATAATTGTTTGTATTTCCGTGGTGGTGGTTATGATCTTTCCTCTTATTCGTGATTTTAATTATTTGGGTCCTTTCTCTCTCTCTCTCTCTTTGATAAGTCTGGTTAGGGGTTTATCAATTTTATTAATTCTTTCAAAGAACCAGCTCTTAGTTTTGTTGATCTGTTCTACTGGGGTTTTTTTGTTTCTCTGTTTCTATATCATTTATTTCTGCTCTAATCTTTATTATTTCCCTTTTTCTGCTGGCCCTCGGCTTTATTTGCTGTTCCTTTTCTTGCTCCTTTCGATGTAAAGGTGTATTTGAGACTATTCTTGTTTCTTGAGAAAAAACTTGTATTGCTATATATTTCCCTCTTAGGACCATCTTTGCTGCATCCCAAAGGTTTTGAACAGTTATGTTTTCATTTTCATTTGTTTCCAAGTATTTTTTAAATTTCTTCTTTAATTTCCTGGTTAACCCATTCATTCTTTTGTAGGATGCTCTTTAATTACCATGTATTTGTGGTCTTTCCAAATTTTTTCTTGTGGTTGCTTCAAGTTTCATAGCATTGTGGTCGTGTGTGTCACTTTAGATCCCTGAAAATGAACAGGTGCACATGTTTTCCCATCCTCTATTCCTCCATTGATGTTTGTCAGATGTGGCTTCCACAAAAATGTATGGCTTAGGTTTCATGGTGGATTCATTCTGTCTCTTTCTCTGAATTGAGTATTCTTTCTAGCAGAGATTTGTATGAACCATGGTTTCATGAAGTGATTATCTTAATTTCAAATGTTATGTCCAGATTGAAGTAGGTGTAGGGGTCAACTGTACTTCCATTTCTGTTAGGACTTTTGTTTTGATTGCTTACACACATGAAATAATGCCCAACCACATCTCTGAGCCTTTCCTAAGCAAGCAACTTGAAACCAACATGGTTGCTATAGTCCAGGATCCTGGAAAGAAAAGCAAAAATAAACTACACCTTAAGAATTGCAGTGGTTTTCTTTTTTCTTTTTAAAGATTTTATTTATGTATTTATTTGAGAGAGAGAGTGAGCAGAGGAGGGGGAGAGAGACAGAGCAGGAGTGGGGGCAAGGGGAGGGAGAGGGAGAAGCAGACTCCCCGCTGAGCAGGGAGCCTGAAGTGGGGCTTGATCCCAGGGTCCCCTGATCATGACCTGAGCCAAAGGCAGCTGCTTAACTGACTGAGCCATCCAGGCATCCCAATAATTGCAGGGTTTTCATATAAAAGCCAGGAGTTGAGAACATATACCAGAATTCAGGCTCCACTTGACCCACAAACAAATTATGTAACTCTTCCAAGTTTCATCTGCTTTTTTCCAGGCCACAAGAGGATTCAGAGACTGGGAGGCTGTGAAGATGAAGGGTAATAGCATGCTAATAACAATCATGAGACAAAGAAGAAAGTAGATGGTCTTTGTTTATTGATGATTATATACTATTCATTCACAGAAAAGATCTACTACAATTCACTATAAAAGATATAAGCTCAGAGAAATGAAAACATATGTTCACACAAAAATCTGTACATGAATGTTTGTAGCAGCTTTATTAGTAATAGCCTCCAAACTGGAAATGACCCAGATGTCCTTCAAAGGATGAATTAAACAAACTGTGTGGAGTGCCTGGGTGGCTCAGTCGGTTAATTGTCCAACTCTTGATTTCGGCTCAGGTCGCGATCTTAGGGTCGTGGGATCGAGGCCCATGTTAGGCTCTGTGCTTAGCAGAGTCTGCTTGTCCCTCTCCCTCTGTTCCTACCTGCTCTCTCTCTATCTCTAGCTCTAAAATAAATAAATAAAATTTAAAAAAATAAAAAATAAACAGTTACACCCACATCACAGAATACTACTCATCGATAAAAAGGAATAAATTATTAATACATACAGCAACTTGGATGAATTTCCAGAAAATCGTGTTGAGTGAAAAAGGCCAAAAAGTTACATAATGTATATAACATTCTATTTTAAAAAAGATTTTATTTATTTATTTGTCAGAGAGAGAGTGAGAGAGGCAGGCAGAGGGAGATGCAGGCTCCCCGCTGAACAAGGAACCCGATGTGGGATTCGATCCCAGGACCCTGGGATCGTGACCTGAGCTGAAGGCAGACACTCAACCAACTGAGCCACCCAGGCATCCCTTTATATAACATTCTTGAAATGATAAAATTATAGAAACGGAGACCAGATTAGTGGTTACCAGAGGTTAAGAATAGGGTGGGGACAGGAGACAAGTATGTGGCTATAAAAGGGCAACATGAGGCATTCTTGGAGCAATGGCATGTCCTGTATCTTGACTGGGTCAATATCAATATCCTGGTTGTGAAACTGTACTATAATTTTGCAAGATGATACCATTGGGAGAAACCAGGTTAAAGAGTTCACAGCATGCCTCTGTATAATTTCTTACAACTACATGTGAATCTGTCATTATTTCAAAGTAAAAAAAAAAAAATTAAAAAAGAAACAAAAGAAAAGGTACAGCCAACACAAAGATGTAAAAATAGAAAATATAACCTGAGAAACCAAAACTCTGAGTTCTCATGATTAAGCATTACATTTATTTCTGTGATTTCTTGCAGCAAAAGAAAAAGAGGAAATCATGATAGGACAAATATTCTTGTTTTCTCATGAAAGTAATCACAGTAAATTTTTAGGAGAGACAGTCTTTCCCCTGGGAATCAATTCTTTTATTTATTTGAGAGAGAGAGAGAGAGAGAGAGAGAGAGGGAGAGCATGAGCAGGGGAGGGGCAGAGGGAGAAGGAGAAGCAGGCTCCCCGCTGAGAGCAGAGCCAGCCCTGATGCAGGGCTTGATCCTGGGACAACAGGATCATGACCTGAGCCAAAGGCAGACGCTTAACCGACTGAGCCGCTCGGGTGCCCCTGGGAGTAAATTCTAAAAGAGCAATGAACTTAGCTTTTTTTTTTTTTTTTTTTTTTTTTAAGATTTATTTGTTTGTTTTAGAGAGAGAGAGCACAAGGTGCGAGGGGCAGGGGGAGAGAGAATCTCAAGCAGACTCTGCACTGAGTGTGGAGCCCCACACGGGGCTCCCTCTCATGACCCTGAGATCACAACCTGAGCTGAGACCAAGAGTGGGACACTTAACAGACTGCACCACCCAGGCGCCCCAAACTTACTCTTAAAATACAACCGCAGGGCACAAAATAAAAGCTACAGAGGAGGGGCTGGCTCAGGGCTCAGGTGCTGTTACTTTTAATGCTCGAGGACCCATGACTTGGTTAAGGGATCCTATGGGGAAAAAATGATACAACTTTCGTGGCTGGTCTCGTACCTAAATGGAGTAGATGATCACCCAAAAAAGTGTGGCTTCAGGGAAACCAAAAAGACACTCTTGACAGTCCAGCTCGCCTGTGTGGGTGTCAGAAAGTCCATCACTAGTGGCGCCTGGGTGGCTCAGTCGGTTAAGCGACTGCCTTCGGCTCAGGTCATGATCCTGGAGTCTCGGGATCGAGTCCCGCGTCGGGCTCCCTGCTCGGCAGGGAGCCTGCTTCTCCCTCTGACCCTCCCCCCTCTCATGTGCTCCCTCTCGTTCTCTCTCTCTCAAATAAATAAATAAAATCTTTAAAAAAAAAAAAAGAAAGAAAGAAAGTCCATCACTAGCTATGCACTCCTCTGGGCTGAGAATTTTTGCTCTCTGGTTTCTTCTACTGACAATTCAGAGATTGGGCCTTGCTCAAGTGTTGCACATACAAGGGGCTTCTGGGCATCTGGGAGACTCGGAAGAACTTGGAGAAAGAATATCCTACCCTCTGCTTTCCCTTCTGCGATGACAGATGCCTCTTCCCTGTGCTTCCTGTCCCTCAGTTCTCAGCTCCTACAAGTATCCCTCTCCCTCCTGAATCGTCAGTGTTCCTCCCTCTATGAGATCAGCTGTGTCAGCATACAGAATGGTTCTGTTATCTCTTACCGCTAAAGCCCCAAACCCAAACAACCCAATACGAAAACCGCACTTCCTGCCTTGACCCTACATCTTCACCTAGCTACCGCGCCATTTCTTTCTTTCCCTTCATGGCAAACCATGCATTGGCCAGAGGCTTGGTCTCCACTTTCTCACCAGCCTTTTTCTACCCGGCCTTCATCAAGGGGGCTCCACACTTGGAGCCTGCACAGTTGACCTCAATGTTCCCAAATCTGATAGTCACCTCTCCATGGGTGTCTTAGGGGTTCTCTCTGCAGCATTTCTACCCAGCTGCCCACTCCCTATTTCATGGCAGACTTTTTTTCTCGTCTGCCATGACTTCTCCCCCTCATGTTTTTCTTCTTACCTCACTGGCTCGTGGCACATTCTGAAGTTGAGTTGAGCTGTCGGAGCACATAAGGGATTTGCCACATTTTGTTTGCTCCTCCTCTGTCCCATCTTACATGTAGAGCGCCCTACAGCTCGTCCTTTATTTTCTCTAGTTTCACTCTACTTAGGTCATCTTAACCAGTCCCAGAGCCATTTACTCCCAAATCTGTCCCCAGAACTCCAGATCTCTCTATCCAAAGGCCAACTCATCTCCAAAGGGATGACAGATTGACATCTCAAACTTAACAGTCCAAAATAGCAATTGAACATTTCTCCCTCAACCTGTTCTTCATCCACTCCCCCCTATGGAAATACCAAACATCCAATTGCTCACGGCAAAAAGTTTAGAGGTTTCCTTGCTTTCTCTTTTCTCATCCCCAACAGCCAATCCATCAGCAAATCCTGCCGACTCTACCTTATCCAGAATACCATCCCTAGTCCGACTCACCACCTTCCCTGTCCTGGGCCACCTCTATAACTTCTAACTGACCTCCAGCCTCCATTCTCCATCCTCCCACCCCCAACCCCAGCCCATCTTCCACACAGTAGCCAGAGCAATCTTTTCAAACATAAATTGGATCACGTCACTCCTTTGCCTAAAATCTTCCATTAGATTCCCATCCAATCAGACAAAATCCAAACGTCATGCTACAACCTACGAAGCACAAACCATCTGGTCCCTGCTAACTCCCTCTCATTCCACCCTCTGCCAGAAGAAGCTCCAGCCATGTGGAAGGGCACAGACCATGTCTGCCTTGTAATAGGAGTAT